CGGGCAGCACGCAGATGCTGAGTGGGCCTGGGGAAGCAGGAATGGGGAGCGGCGGCCCCCTCTGAGTCCTCACCTTATTCGGATTCACAGGAGATGAACTCACCAAGCTGGGCGAGGAGGATGAGCAGGGCTGGTGCCGCGGGCGGCTGGACAGCGGGCAGCTGGGCCTCTACCCCGCCAACTACGTGGAGGCCATCTAGTTGCCCTGCTCCCTCCACACGTCCCCCACCCCTCCCTTCCCGCCCTCAGCTCCTGCCCCTCGCCATAGAGTTCCAGACATATTTTCCGATCAAGCTTTTATTTTTTTAAAAGTCAAAACAGAACAGAACTAAAAGTACAAAGAGATAGAGCATTTGCAGGGCCACCTGGAGGCCGGGGGTTGGAGAGAGGGCTTTGGAAAAGGGCCCCGCATGGGTGGGTGGGTGACAGAGGGCCCTAGGACTTGTGCGCCAGATGAGAACATGATTGACTCTTAAGAACCCACCAAAGAGTCTCCTGAGGCCGAGGGTGTCTTCTGGAACCTTCCGCCCAGCTGCACTCCCCACCCTGCCCCAGGCTGCCAGTGGCTACTCCTCTTCTCTGGGCTTGGTTTCCAGACGTCTTCTTCCTTCCGCCCCTGCTGCCCATCCACCACCACCCTCCGGGAAAGGAGGCCTCCCAAACCTTAGTCTTCCTTTCCTGTCCCGGGGAGTGCCTCCACCCAGACTTCATGTACGGGGGAACCATGGGGCTGGTGGAGGGCTTGTCAGCTTTCTCTCCCGCAGAGGGGTCCATGAGTTGCTGGGAACGTGAAGAGCTGAGCTGCAGGATGGGCATCTCATGGGGGGTTCTGTCCTCAGTGCAGGCCGGCACGCTCACCCAGCTAAAGGCCCAGTGGAGGGTGGCCACCCTTCCCAGTGGGGCTCCCTCGGGACTTGCAGAGACCCTACCCCCACCCCCTCTCACCAGTCCTTTAGCACAGGGTGAGGGCCCCCCAACCCAGGGCAAAGCCAGCAACAGTAGCAGTCTCTCCCACTTCCTGGGGAGGAGGCCTTCTTGCCCACCCTCGCACCTGCTCTGCAGTTCATCTGAAACCACCGGCTCAGTAGCCCCAGGATCAGCCTGCCTGAGAGCACTGGGCCTTATGCCCCCAAGGCTCCCAGTCTCACCATCCCTCTTTGCCCTCCCCTGGCCTGCCTGGGGTCCATGGGAGCTTCCAGCTGGGACTACCAGGACAGCCCCTGCCCTTGGGAGTAGGACCATCACTGTCACTTCCTTCACTCTTCCCCCCACCTCGTCCCTGCCACCCCTGGTAGCCCCCTCTAGCTCTGGATCCAAGCCTGGGTCTCCACTAAAGGCAGGGAGACCTGGGTACAAGGGAAGGGGGTTTGGAAAACAGGTCAGGGCAGGATGAGACCCCAAGTTGGACAGAGGGGCTGGACATCTCAAAGGTGCCATCCAGGACGAGGGCTTGAGATCTCCAGCTGCTTCACCTGCTGGGACTTGCTCCCTGCTGCTGCCACTTGGAGGCCCCTGGGTCTGCACCTGCCTCCTCCCTCCCTGGTCCTGCAGGCGAAGAGAATGTCCAGCCGTAATCCTCTTTTGCCACCTGCTGCTTCTCCTGTTCCTAGGAGGCTATGGATTCTGGCCTCTCCAGGCACGACTGTCACGTGGGCACAGGGCTCCCAAAGGACTTTGGCAGGGACCCAAGCTGCAGCAGGGTATGGTGCGATGCGTGTGGTGCAGGTATCTCCTTCATCCCAGCCTGCTCTCTGGGCCTCTGCTGCATCCTCAGATACACCCTGGGCCCCTTAGAGCCTGAGGTGAGATTTCTGAAACCTGCAGCGCCCCTTCCCCATCAAGTCCTAAAGAACAGTCTGCAGCTTCTCCCCTGTCCCAGGCAGGAGCTGGAGCCGGGTTGGGCCTCGGCGCCTCATCCTGGAAAAGCAGGAAGTCTGCCCATGCACACTGCAGGGCCTGGGCTCCGGGCAGCTCTCTGGTCCCTTGGGAGAGGCTGCAACCTGGCTGGACTCACACCTGTCCTTCTTGAGCCCAGCTGCCCGCTCCAAGACAGGGACTCAAAACACACAAACACACACACACACACACACACACACAGCCCCCCACCTGCTGGGTCCCCAGGCTTCTCAGGATGCCAGCACGGGAGGGTCCCTCACCTGGAAGTCCCCCTGGGTTCCGGGCGCCCAACCCCTCCGTATCAGTGTTGGCCATGGGGGCGCCCAGCTCCTCCTGTAGCTCCTGCCTGCACCCTCCGTGCTATCCAGGCCCTTCCTAGCAGGGTTCGCGAGTCCTGTGTCTGTCTCCCCCAGTTAACCAGCTGTGTGCAGCCTGGCTCCTCCGGGACCCGAGCCATCCGCCACCCGCTGCCCTCGGCTTCCTGACTCCATTAGTCCGACACTTGTGCTATTCCAAGAAGTGCTGTGGTCTGAGCGATGCACCTGTTTTGTACATGATCGTGTAATTTAAGGTGTATAAATACAGATCTATATCTCTAAGTTGTGACTGTACGACTGTGGATAAAACCCAGACCTGTGTCAACCTGGCTGGCCTTGTCGCCTTCAGTCCTGCGCGTCCACACTCCTGGGGCTTCCCAGCCTTTGAAAGGCTCCTGGAGGTTGGGGTGTCTGCTGGGGACTCAGGGGAGGTCCCTTCACCTCCCGGGGTCCCAGGGTCCCTCTTGTGTTATAATGGGGGGAGGTCACAGACAAATATAGACCAGGAGAGCTGGGCCACACAGGTCCTAAGTTCACGGTTCAAAGGTGAATTTGATGACTCTCCGCCAGTAGGTTTTGAGTTTTACAGCAGAATTTTATTTTATTTGTCTTTTAAAGATTGATTTATTTTTCATTGGAAAGGCAGATTTTCATAGAGAGAAGGGACACAGATCTTCCATCATTGGTTCACTCTCCAAGTGACCACAGTGGCCAGAGCTGAGCTAATCAGAAGCCAGGAGCTTCTTCCAGGTCACCCACACAGGTGCAGGGTCCAGGCCATCCTCCTCTATTTTCCTAGGCAACAAGCAGGTTGCCACATGGGAAGTAGAGCAGCCAGGACACAAATTGCTACCCATATGGGATGCCAGTGCTTGCATGGCAAGGATTTAGCCATTGAACTGGGTATATATATATAGCAGAATTTTAACCACCACTGCTATGGCCCCTGGTTCCTGGTCAGCTGTGTCCTAGGCTCCGTTCTGTGTGACATGGGGCAACTGGATGCTTCCTTAGGTCCCGGGCTTGCTTCTCAGGGAAAGGACAGGCCTGCAACCTGGTGCTTTCCTCTGTCCCACCAGGCTATGCCCCAGCTCCTCGTCCTCCAGCTGCCCCTCACCTCCAATCAGCTCCCCAATGGGCAGGGTAGGAATCCCAGTTATGGCCACTACACTGATCCTACCCCAACCCTGGCCCCAGTGATGTCCCATGCAGCCACTCTGACCCCGGCAACCCTCTCATGGTCACCGCAGGCCTACCCACAACCCCCAACCACTCTCCGTAGTCTCGGGTTGTGCCCAGTGGCAGATCTGCTTGCCTTCCCAGGACCCCTGATGCCTGCATTTCGAGCCCTGGTTTTAGCCAAACCAGGCTTTGGGCCCTGGGGAGCTCTGGAGGTGGAGGCTGTGGTCTGGGATCAGGGCGGGTGTTTATTTAGTGTTTAGGTATTACCGGTAGGTCAGAGTTCACCTACAGGGGCTGCCCCAGCGGCCCCCAGAGCGCGGCTTTGTGGAGCGGCCTTGGCTCCTCATCCCCCTGCCTCTGACCCGCACCCTCCCAAGCTGTGCTCCAAGTTGAGGACACACAAAGCAGGTAGCACCAGGGACTTAGCTGGGCTGGCTGGAGACAAAACCAGTTCAGCAGTGCAGCACTTGGTTCTGGCCAGGGTCCCAGTCGTCCCCCACCCATATGTGTGTCAGAGGGTGTCCTGTCCCAGGGAGACAGGCCTGGGGCAGGCACCCCTTGCCCCCCCAGTGCAGCTCCAGCTAAAGATGCCAAACTGCTGTTTGCTTACTGCCAGGAGGACACTTTCTTCTGAGGACAATACGATTGCTGGGGGCAGGAGGCAGCAGTACAGGGTGACACTTAACTCTTGGTGGGCTGGGCGGTGGCAGCACTGGCGCCCCTCCAGTCAGCTCAGCAGCTGAGGCCTGGTGAGTCCTGGGGGTGTTGGCCAGTCACGCCATAAGAGGCAGATGGAGTGGCCAGAATCCTGCCTTCAGTGTGAGCTCCCTTCCTGCTCCTGCTGGGAATTTGCTGTGGGGCTGAGCAAGTAAGTCACCTGACCTCTCTGGACCTCAGTCTTGTCCTCTGCAGGATGGAGAAGTGACCCCCACCTCACGGTGAACAGTGAAGGTGCAGTGGAAGCTCCCACAGCAGGTGCACAGGAGGAAGAATCGGGAGGGGCTAGGGTGCTGACTCACTTTGTCCAGGAGGGTGGGCGCTGTGCAAATGCAGCCCTCCCCCCACTCCCAAGCAGATCCCAAGAGCTCTCACACCCTTGGCTGCCATGCCCACTCACGGAACCTACACACTGTCACACACTGGCAGCAAGGCTGTGGCCCGTGACAGGGCCTCCAGCACCTCTTCTCCTGGCAGCTCCTGACCCATCCCCCCGACACACACACACTCACACACACACAAAGCCCTGCAAGGACCTCCTGCTCTCTCTGTCCCTCCCTGCCATCCTCCTTTAGCTTAAGCCCCTTCCAGCCTGCCCAGGGGGCCTTCCTCACCCCTCCTGGGCCTTCAGGACTCACTGCTTCTCTCCCACAGCTTCTTTCCTTTTGCCCTCAGCACAGTGCCTCTTCCTCCAAGAAGCCTTCCTGACTGCTCACATCTCCTACGACCACAACCACTTTTGACCACTTAGTGGCCTCTGAGGCTGTGTCACACTCAGTCCACAGGCATGGGGCAGGTGTCAGTTTTCTAGTATCTTTTATTATCTATCTCCTGAATCCCCAGCTTGGGGTACAGACTCCTCCTAGCCCTATGCCAGGCAGGGTGTACAATAGATGGCCAGGGGGATATAGCAGGCTGAGAACTGTAGGTAGCCTTGGCCAGGTCACTGCTGTGCTGTAGGCTCTGCTCTGGGAGACCTGGGGGGCAGAGCCCTTGGAGAATGGTCTCCCCCTGACCACCACCCCCTACCATTCACACACAGAGGGACAGATCCAGGGACACTGAGAGTAGCCCTGGTTCCCTGCTTCCTTCAGTGGACCAGTCAGCGCATGTCAGGCCTGAGGAAGAAGCCCCTGCCCCAGGGATCCGCTCTCCCAGACTGCCGAGGGCTCACTGACAACCTGGGAGCAACAGGCTACCCCCCTCCCTGACCTTGGACTCCAAAAGGCTGGCAGCCCGCCGCATCTCCTCCAGCCCAGGGTCTGGCCCAGGCCGGGACCGAAGCCCTCAGACCGGGTGCACAAACTGGTAGACGAGGCGCTGGGAGATGTCAGGCTTGCGGATGATGCCCTTCTTGTAATACTGGCGGATGGAGCGGCTCAGCTTGTCGTAGTTCATGGCCGGGCGGTTCTTGCGGATGCCCCACAGTCGGGCCACCTGGGCAGAGTCCTCAATTTTGAAGATACCTGGGGAGCAGGAGGATCCCACGGAGCCAGGGGTCCAGGGAGGGAGCAGCCGGAAGGAGAAAAACAGAGATTGGCAGTTGAGCGCTGAGGGGCACTGGGGCCACGGGGACCACCCGCCACCCCTATTGTGCTGAGGGTCAGAGCATGTTTGGCTGACTGCCTTGTAGCTCGTACTTCTGACACCACCTCTCTGTCATCCTCAGCCACCAGCAGCCATCTCAGGCTTCCCTGGAAGGATCACATCCAGGGGGAGTGGTGGAGGAAGGCTTGAGGGCCTCTCGGACTTGATTCCAGCCCTGCTGTTTGCTACTTCTGGAGCCTGAGTGGGGCTCCATACTCCCGCCTGCCAAAGCAGATTATAGCAGCCAGCATGGAAACGTGCTCAGAATGGGGCCTGAGGTGGTACCCGTTGGAACCAGCCCTGCTTCTGAATTCCAATCCTTCTGCCCAGGCCTGGGCCAGTACGCCTCCTCCAGGGAGCCCAGCCTAGACCACCCAGCGCTTTCTGGTCTCCTCTCCCGCTGACCCTCCAGCTATCATGGAACTGACCCTTACAACCGACTCAGTTCACCACACCTTGCTCAAGCAAGTCTCCACCCCCTCCAGTTCCCTCATTCTCCTCCAGCTCCATGAACTCCTCCTGGACCCAAACCCAGCTTATTCCTTTGCTGCCCTACAGCCCCATCTCAGCTCGGAAACGCACCGCACACCAGCTTATTCCACAGGCATCTTCCTATGAGACCGCAGCTTCCTCAAGCACAGGGAGGGTAGACACTGCAGTTGTCCCCCAGCTGAGCCAACGAGGGGCCAGGGTGAACACTCAGCCAAGCCTTGCTGGCAGACCCAACCTGTGCACCAGGCAAGGGCCTGGCACCCACAGCCACTGTGGCAGGCTGGAACCTGGAACACCTGGAACCCAGGATTCTTGTCTGGGAGCCACTTCCAAAACATACACAGAGCAGACAATGTGCACACACATACGTGTATGCAGACACATAAATCTATAGACAGACATGCATGCACATGACACATGCATAGGATACAAAATACACACACAGATCTGTGCATCAACATGCAAATACACACAGATACAAGCGTGCACACATGTACACATGTGCAGACACAGAGATGTGCACACTGACACACACAGGCAGACATGAGCATACACTGCCCGCAGACACACAGGCACAGGTGTAGGCACACTTGCATACATGCACAAATAGAGCCCTGTGCGCACGTACACAGGTTCACACACATAGACACATGCTTGCTCACAGATCCACACCCCATGGGGTTCTGCACTGCCCTAGTTGCGTGTGTGTGGGGGGTCCCCAAAACATGGCTGACGTGAACTGAGGCGGGCTGGAGGTGTGACACACATCAGGTTTCTAAGACTTAGTAAAGAATCGTATGATTTGTATATTGACGCTATGCTGACAACGTGATTATTTGCAATACTGGATTTGTACCCAAGATGTTTGGGTCTGAAAGTGTTTCAGACCTGGCAGCTAAGCATTCCTCACCTGAAAAACTCCAATCTGAAAGTGGACCCTTCTTCCACATCCTGTCCCTGAATGATCCATGTACATGAGCCCTGGGGCAGCCCTGTGCCTGTGGTGGGTTTGGCAGCTGGGGGCCACTCCACCTTTTTGCTCACCCTCAGCCCTTCACTGGGCCCAGGTACCACACCTCAGCCCACCATCCTGTGAGAGCCCTGAGCCTCAAGGCGCAGATCCCGACAGCCTGCCGGGAGCTCAGGGTGCTCGCTCACCTTTCTCCTTATTGAGCCACCGGATGCAGCGGCCATAGCTGTGCGGCTTGAGCAGCAGCTCCCGGAGGAACTGCCACAGGTGGATGGGCTGCCCGGAGCAGGAGGAGTCCACCTCGCCGTCTGTCCAGCTTTCCTTGCTGGTCGAGGCTGGGAAGCCAGGGAGGGCAGCAGTGAGTGGGGAGCTGGGGGGCAACCCGGGCTCCCACCTACCCCTAGGCTCTGGCTACTCCCAACCCCTGCCTCAACTCACCACAATAGTGCATTGCCCCGGGGGAGGTCCTCTCTTGCATCCAAGCCGCTGTGGGGCAAAGAGAAATTATTAGGATGGGGATGGGGCAGGAGGGGCATTAGGGGAGGGCTTTGGATGGGGCTTGGGGTCATGGAAGGCTCTGAGGCTGCCTGCCTCCTGCCAGGGCTAATGACAGGTGGTCTGTAAGAGCTACTTTTAGAGCCTGGGTGGCGGGGAGGCTCAGAGACACTGCCCCCCACGCCTGTGCAGTGCCCTGTACCCTGTTCAGACAGGACTTGGGTCCTGGGACTTGTGTGCTTTCTTCACCTGGTCCAGCCAGCAGTGCTCACGCTTGGCGCCTAACATGGTAACACCTGCTGGCCTGCCCTCCCTCCAACTGCCAGATCCCATCCCCTCTGATGCCCCCATCCTACCCCACCCCCATGTTGCCCCTGCCTTTCAGCCTGGCACTGACCATGCGCTCACCTGGCAAGCAGCCCTGGTCCCTGATGCGGCTACATGAGTGGTTCCTGTCCCCCGGCTCATTCCGGGCCACTAAGGGCAGGGACCAAGTGCCTGGCTCTGTGGGCAGGCACATAGTGGCTGAGACAGAGACAGCCTAGCCACTCAGGATTGAAGAACAAGGGCCGTGAGGGTGCATGTGAACAGGGAATAGCATCTGAGATGCATGGGGCAAAGGACTGTGTGAGAATCTGTGAGTGCTCAGGTTAAGGTAAGACACCATGCGAGGACACTTCAGACACATCTGTTCCTCCCTGGGGCCACCAATGGCTCTGCCTTCTGGCTCCAGCTCCCTCCCCGGACTGCTGGGGACCTTTAGGGGGGTGAAACAGTGAATAGCAGCTCTCCCTCCCTCTCTCCCTCCCCACCTCTCTCTTTCTGCTCCTCCCTTCATTTCTAAGTAAACAGAGAGCAGCTGGTTAGCCTAGCAGTTAAAACATGTGTGTCCCACACTGGAGAGCTGAGTTGGATGCCCCCTTGCTTCCGGTTCCAGCTTCTTGCTAATGTGCCCCCTGCGAGGCAGCAGGGCTTGGCTCAGGGCACTGAGCTCCAGTCACTCCCTGTGGGAAACCCGGATTGAGTTCCTGCAGCAGGTTAAGACACTGCTCGCAATGCCAGCTTCCCACATCAGAGTGACAGTTCGAGTCCTGGCTGCTCTGCTTCCCATCTAACTGTCTGCTAATACAAGCTTGCTCTCTCTTCTTCTGTCATGTGGCCTTTCAAATAAAAAGATAAGTAAATACATCGTTGTAAATACATCTCCTAACTTCTGCTCCAGCTGCTTGGGCCATCTGGGGAGTCTGTGAATGAATGCCTTTGCCCCCAGACAAGTTAATTTTAGTGTCAAAAACCAAAAAGCAGTAATTGCCTTTAAGCTAGTGGAGGGGCAGGAGTGGGAGAGCAAATTTCTGCTTATAGTAATGATTTTATCCCTGGGCCTTTAAAAAAAAATGCATGCAGGCTGTAGGGCTGCACGGTGCCCTGTCTTTCTGGTCTGACTTCTACTGCCAAACTTGCCGCATACTCTGCTCTAAGCTTTGGCAGACCTGGTCAAAGCCAGACCAGGACCCAGGGAGGAGGCAGGTGCTGCTGGGGCTCAGCTTCAGGATGTAGTTGGAGTGAGAGCTGGTACTACTTCCCCAGGAGGCCCCTTGCCAAGCTTCCCACCCTGGGCCGTGATGTACCTGACTTCCAGATGTCCAGGTGGGCGTGTAGCACGTCCCCACCCAGGGGTGAGCGCTGGCGGAACTGCTCCTCTGACATGGCGCACAGCTCCTTGCCGCCCAGCTCCTGGAAGGCCTTGCCCACGGGTGGCAGCCGGTACTGGTGCTCGGTCCACAGGAGCCACTTCTGCACGTTGCTAGGGCTCCAGTCCACAGGGTCTGAGCAAGAGACAGTCCTTCAGCCCTAGGGCTGGGCTCCCCTTTGGGCAAATGGAGTAGGGAGGGGATGGGATGGGGATCTTGTGGTGTCAGGTACCCAGGAAGGGAGATGGGTAGGAGGAAGGAGCCAGGTTCCTGAAAACACAGTGGACCAGGGGTGAGGTCACCATCTTGTGCCTTGCACTTCCCAGGCCCTTTGAACTCCTCCAGAGGCCCCCAGAAGAGACAGTGACACTAAGAGAACAGGAGTGAGAATGGATTTCTCTCTGTTGTCTGTGACAAATAAGTGGAGCCATGGCCACACAGGGGCTGCTCAGGGCAGCTGTGTCAAATAAGGAGGGGAGCTGTGGTCTTGGGGTGGGGGCGGGGCTCTGGCTGGGTCCTTCATGTCCTGCTGGGTGAGGGCTGCTGGAGGCTGTGCTTGGCAGGTGCATGGGTGGGAACAGTCACGGCCCCCACGGGTGACCTGCAGGCTAGCCACAACCCTTAATACACCTGATTTCCTCCCAGAAGGTAAAGCTATTCATCTCTGTCCCCATTGTCCCAAAAGCACACCTTCAGCCAAGCCTAGGGTGGTATGGTGGTGAGGGAGGCACTGTGGTGGGTAAGGAGGGAACCTTGGGGGATGGGACTGGCATGGGTGTTGTGAAATAGGAGGTTATAATGTTTTCCTCAAGTGACATCAGACGGAGGGCACAGCAAGTGCAAAGGCCCTGAGAGGGCCATTGTGCCTGGACAAGTCTGGGTAAGGGGCAGGGGAAACAGAACTGAGTCCTAGAGGTGCTTCTTGTAGCTCCTACAAGTAGGGGAGGACACTGGGTTCACCAGTGTGCTGGGGCACAGAAATGGCTGAGACCTTTCCCAGCTGTAGTGTGTCAGGTGCTGTCTGTGCCTGTTCCACTGGGGCCACTGCCAGCAGGGCCCTGTTATGCAGGGTGTGGGTGGGGAGGAGATGGTAAGAAGGGCGAGGAACTCACCTGCCGTGATGTTGAGCAGCTTGCAGGCCGTCTCAATGTCCTTGAGCACCTCGCCCACCACCATGGACTGCACCTGTTCTAGCGAATGCTCTTCCAAGTTCAGCCCGCCGGGCACCAAGTCCAGGCCGCCCCCTGGGGCTTGACTGTCAATAACCGGGCACTGCTCTGGCTCCTCGGGCGACTCTTCTCGGCTGCTGGCTCCAGGAGCTTTGGCCACCCAGCTGCTGTCATCAGGGCACAACATGTCGAAGTAGGAGAGGTAGAAGGTGGACAGGCCTTGCTCAGGTGTGGCAGGTGGGCTGGGGCTCCAGTCTCGCCTCTCTGACACTCCCGGCTCCACCCCTGCCCCTGCTGCCACCTTCTCCAGGCCTGTTCGTAGCACAGTGTCATTGGGGGGCAGCAGGAGGCGGCCAGGGGCCAGGCTGCTCAGGCCAGGGCTGGTGCTGCCCATGCCGCCGCTGCTGGCGCTGGCAGCCGTGTCTGTGGAGAATGATGAAGCGGGAAGAGTCAGATCTGACTGCCCAACCTACCCCCCTGGGGCTGCTAAGCTGGTTAGGGGCATGAGGGGCCCAGTGGGCAGTGAGCTGAGCCTGGGAAGAGGTGGGGGGTTTATGGGTCATTGGGCAGAGAGAACAGGGCTGGCTGGGACTTGGGGCAGGTCTGTTCATGAGCCACTCCCCCGGGAAGCCTGGTTGGTTGGGGGGCAGCCAGGCCTCCTCCGTGTAGTGTGCCCATAGCAGCCAGCTCTTGGAGGGTTGGGAAGGTAGAATCAGCCACAGCTGGTGGCTGGACCAATGGAAGCCTGACCAGGGAGCCCCAATTTCCAGATCTGTCCAGCAACTTCACCAGAATCTTTTCTGCTGCAGGAGGGCAGGGTTTCCTTCCATGCCGCAGGGGTAGGAGAGGAGGGCACTGCTCCAGGGAGGAAGGAAGGAGCTGAGTGGGGCACGGGCCTTGCCCTCACTCAGAACCATTTGGGGGATACGACTAAAGCCACAAATGAGAACACTTTTGAGGGGACCCACCGAATGCCCACTCAGGGCTGGGTGCTCTAAGCTCCTCTGGGGCCCTGGAGGAGTGGGCAGCTGCAAGGAGGGGGTGCCCACATGGGGAGCTGCCCAGGGGCAGGGGGCTGCTGAGCAGGTGCGGGATTTCAGATCATAGCCAAGAGCCAGTGCCCGCTCGCTGGAGGCCCTGCTCCCCTCCCCTGCTGCTCCACTTGCTCAGGTCCTTCTCTGTTGGAACTGAGCTAAGGACCCATGGCGATGGCAGCAGAGTGACCAGGGCAGAGAGCAGAGAAGTGTGCTTCCATGGGGCCTGGTCAAGCAGGCACAGCATCGCCTTGGGACTTATGGGAAAGTTACATCCATAGCCCCACATCAGTGCTCTGGAACCGGAAGCTTACCAGCAGAGCAACGTCACGGACGGGACCTAGTCCTAGCTTGAGAACTGCTGACTTGGATGGAGACATCTTTCAGGAGAAGGGGAGGTGGCCCCTGCTGGCCCCTCTGCTGCGGGCTGCGCCAGGAGCTCACAGGGGCAGCTGCAGCAGGCAGAGCAGGGGGCTCAGCATTGACTGGCATTCACCCTTATAGGTGCGATGAGGCAGGAAGTCAGCCTGGAAGGTCATTCCAAGTTACCTGGACACCTTTGTAGGAATCAAAAAATGGTGTCCCTTCCTTTCTGGGCAGCATAGTTCCCTGGTGCAGTGCCCAGTCTTACCAACCTGACACAGCAGCTCTGAATTTTTCCCCAGTGGAGATGCCAGCAAGAGGCAAGGTGTTCCCTTTGATGTCAACGCTCCCTTTCAAGAACTTCATTAAGTGACAAGGAAGAAAAGGTCAGAGTGGGGTGGGCCGGGCCAGGCCAGGACTAAGGGGAGAGAGAGGGCTGGGGTAGTAGGGGACAGAGGGCAGGCCTGGAGCCAGTTCAAGTCCTTCTGTGCAAACACTCATGTGTGCCGTGAGCCCAGGTTGTTTACCCAGGCAGCACCAACAGCGTGCTCAGCTCCAGGCTCCCACCCTGGTCTGTGCCCACACCCTACTCCCTGGGCACCTCTGTCTACGTGGGAGCCCCTTCTGCCCCCATCCCTCTGTCATCACTTCCCCCCACCTCACCCTAGCTGCCTTCTGCCTCAGCCACATCCCCAGGAGCCCCTGGCTGCCACGTTAGGACAGTTCTTGCCAATACCCTGGGCCTCCGGCCAGGGAGACCGAAGCCATTCCAAGAAGCAGAACTGGATCCCATTGTGGTGCTCCTGTTTGCTGCGGCAGCCACAGGTAGAATGGGCAGCAGCCACTGCACTTGAGGGAGTTGTGATGCGAGGGTCAGCATAGACCACAAGGACACACTCTAGACAGTGGTGAGTGGCTGCACAGCTTCCCCACCCCATGAAAGGCAACCCGGGACTTCGTGCTCATGTCCTGGCTTGCCCACAGGGACATCCAGAGCAGAGAGGCACGGGGCCTCAACCTGGCTCTTGGTACACCTGATGCAGGTGTCCTCAACTACAGAGAGTATGTCTCCCCCTCTGACCCCCTATGCATCCCAGCTCCCTGCACCCCAATGCCAAGGTGCCCGTGACCCACTAAACCCAGACCCAGTGCCAACCCTTCCCAAATGAAAACTCAATTGATGATTAAGTGTAGGGCAGGAGGAAAGATCCCATTATTCAGGCCAGTGCCATGACATAGCAAGTTAAGCCTCCACCTGCAGCTCCTGCATCCCATATGGGCACTGGCTTGAGTCCTGGCTGCTCCACTTCCAATTCAGCTCCCTATTTATGGTCTGGGAAAGCAGTGGAGTGTGGTCCAACTCCTTGGGTCCCTGCACTCACGTGGGAGACAAAATAAGCTCCTGGCTTCTGGCTTTGGACTGGCCCAGCTCCAGCCATTGTGGTGCCTTGGGGGAGTGAACAGGTGGAGGAAAAGTCTTCTCTTTCTCTTTCTCTTTCTCCTTCTCTCTGTAACTCTGCCTTTCAAGTAAAACTAAAATAATTTTTTAAAGATCCCATTGTCTGCAGGGACAGGATGGCAAATGCTCTGTTCCTGAGGTGGCCCCGGTGTGGGGGCACTAAGGCTCCCGGCTCCGTGAATGTGGCAGGTGAGCCCAGCCTGTGACTCTGGCATCTCCTCTGGGCTCTAGGCTACACAGGAAGGGAAGCAGTAACTGCCCAGTAGGCTCCACCCACATCCCTGCCCAGGGCGGGCACCCACCTTGTGCCTTTACCACCCACAGCTGGGTGACGTGGACTCACAGGCCCTGTTTTATGGATGTGACCGTGTGCGGAGAGGCTGCACAGCCACCTACTCCTATCTGCCCATGCACCGATTCACAAACCACATTATCCCAGACCCTGGCAGCTCCATCGTCTCAGTTGGGTGCTTGGCCCTCCGAAGCAGGCCCCACCCTCTGGGTGCTTGCTGCAGCCCACTGCCAAGCTCAGACCTGTTTGTCAGACATCCCTATGCTCAAGAGCCCCATCTGGGGGGATGCCATTGTGGCATAGTGAGTGAAGCCACCACTCGCAGCACTGGCATCGCGTATGAGTGCTGGTTCAAGTCCCAGCTGCTCCATTTCATATTCAGTTCCCTGCCTGTGTGCCTGGGAAGGCATCAGAAGATGGCTCAAGTGCCCATAGGGGGAACAGCATAAAGCTCCTGGCTCCTGGTTTCAGCCTGGCTCAGCCCTGACTGGCCATCATTTAGGGAGTAAATCAAGAAGATGACCCTCCTATGGCTCCCTGTTCCATGTGATGCCCAGCCCGAGGTACAGCTTGCCCTGCTTCGACAATCAGAACCGCGAGAGGCCACACGCATACTGTGTGGGTGATTACAGGTGTGGACATTGAAACCCAGAGCAGGGAGGCAATTCATGGGGACAGAGCTGGACATGGTGACCGCACGTCCAGGCTCTCACAAGGATGTTGTCTGTCACCTGGCCCTGTGCAGTGGGTATGATATGGAAGCTTTCTCTCATGTTGCCCCTTCACCCCAGACACTCTTTCCTTGCCACCACACACAGCCCAAAGCCTGCCTCCCCTGGGAAGGCGCAACTGCTCAGTGGTTGAGGCTCACCCTTGGGGGACACCTGGACACCAGAACACTGAGGCACAGACAGCAGCAGGAGGTACCCATGGTCACACAATGGGGCCAGGGTGGCCAGGAGGGTCCTAGGAGTAACCAGCGTGTGTCAGGTCTGAACCCTCCCCATCTGCAACCCAAGCTGCAGGGCCCAGGGCTGCCGTCTCCCGAGCAATGCCTCCAGCTCCCCAAGCTCGGCTTGATCTCCTCTGGATGAGGCCACATTCTGGATTAAGGCTCAGTGGGCCCTGGCTTTTCTGGCCTCAGAAGCCCCGGCTTCTACCGAAGACAAAACAAAGTTTGGTAACAGCTGGTGGAGGCCAAAGCAAGAGGGGTGGGGTGGTAGCCTGGGGGATGCACCAGCTCGGCCCTGCTCTGAGCACCGCCCAGTCCCCCAGGAAGGCAGAGCCAGGGGAGAGGGAGGGGACGCCCAAGGCTGGAGGCTGCTTCCTGTCCCTCCTCTGCCTGCTGTCAACTTGGTTCCACTCCCAGGCTGTAATTTTGGGGAACGGCCACCTTGGGAGGTTCTCCACTAAGGCGTCTACTGTCATGTTTGGGACAGGGGAGTCCTCCTGCATCCTAATGGGTCTCCTGGGGTTCCTGGAGTGGCCATGCCCTAATTCCCTGTTTATCCTGAGCCTCAGCCCCAGAGCCTTGCCTTCCCACCACATCAGGCCCCGTCAAGAAAGAGGCATGTCAAGGGGGTTAGGTAAGATCAGTTCTTCACACCGCTGCTCAGACCCCAATGGGCCTTGCTGCAGGAGCCTCAGTGGGGACCTTGGCTATCTCCCCACACATCCAAATCCCTGGGCCCCCGTCATGAGAGATCTGAGCCAGGAGCCTGCAGTATGGGCAGAGGCCACATGGGCCAGCCAGGCAGTTGGTCAGCACCTTGGAAAGAGAGCACCCAAGCCATCCATCCCCCCACCCCCCATATTCAGCCATATACTCCTCAGCATCCCCTCTCCCTCTCACCCTGTTCCTCCTCTGCTCCCCAACACTGTCACCTGCCATGGAGCACCAGCAACTTACCCCTCAAAATGGACTCTCAGACTCACGGGCTCTGGAGAAGTGCCAGGCCCCCTCCTGACCCCCTTGACTAGAGTGTCTATTGGCCACCTCCACTCAGATAGTTCCAGCCCTCTTGGGGACGGGGGAGGGTGGTCATGCCCAATCCCTTCTACCCCATCCCAGGTCACCAGGGGGCAAAGAGAAGGGAGAAGGATCCCTGTGCTGACTGAGAGAGGTCTTGCCTGACCCCAAGCCCCTCCTACCTTTCCTCCACCTTCTCAGGTGCCAGTTGTGTCCTGAGCACTGCCTGACTTTAGCCAAAGCCCCCCTCTCTGGGGAGCCAGCTAGGGGCCTCAGGAGCTGGGGATGTGTGCAGGGAGTCTTTGT